ACAGGAAAATGCCATCTGGGTGCCGCCAGCAGCAACCACCATCCAAACAACTCCTGCTCGGGTTTCCTTCCTCACTCTAGACACAACGTGGCCAGCCACGCTGTCTGCCATGCCACCGTCCCATCCCCACCATGACTGTTGAACCCTCAAACTGAGAGCCGGGCAAACCCTTTCTTCAGTTGACTTTATCAAGAATTTTGTCACAGCAACAGGACAAGGAGCTAAAAAGTACTGTCTTTGTTGAGATGTGATCTCCTTGTAGCCCAGGCTGACCCCAAACCTGCTGGGTAGCCCAGGGTGACCTTGAACTGCCCCTTCTCCCCCTCCTGGGTCTGGGATTCCAGCCGTGCCCCATCCTGACCATTTTAGGCTGTGCGGGGATCAAATCTGCAGCCTTGTATATGCTAAGCAAACACTAAGTCAACTGAGTGGCATCCCCCTGCAGGCAGCACTTAGCTCTGAGTCTCCCTGAGTCCAAACTTTGTCATCTTTACTCTACCCCACTGGGTATTCACAAATCCGCTTTATTTGGTGGAGTCTTCTCAGCCTGAGGTCAAGACAATCACCCCCTTTTACAGCTGCGGAAACCAGGGCCAGAAGAGAAAAGCGCTCTGTGCTCACAGTCTCTGGTCTCGCCAGTGAGAGAGGACAGAAGCAGTCCCTGGCCCCTTGACCAAGGCTGGCTGTGTCCTGAGCATTTCCTGCCTTCCGCTGCCTTTCAGCCTTCTACCCTCACTGTGACCCTACACGAATGATGCTCCGCCTTTCTTCCCTCCCCTTTCCTTACCCAAGCCTCACAGAGGTATCTGCACAGCCTTCCCGTTCCCGAGAGGGTGCGGAGAGAAGGAGGTGGCTTGTAGGTTTACACGAGGCTTCGGGTCCCCGGACAAATGCCCCTCTGTATCATGAAGCCTATTGTGACTGGCATCCATCCAGCGCTCACCGCGGGCAGCTTCAGAGGCTGGGATTGGTCTCCCGCCTGTCCTCTCTGCCAGGTCCTGCCTGGGGCAGGAAACAGGGGGTGTGCTGTTTCTGGAATGGAGGGTGTGGGAGGCAAGCCAGCTTCGGGAGGGCGAGGGGCCACGTCCTGAGCCACTCTCAGGAAGCCCAGAGTCTTAAGGTAGCAGGCACCTGAGAGGAAGAAGGAGTCCCGGCTGGCCATTCCACAGGAGAATGTCTGCACTCTAGACAGAACAAGTGATTTTGGCACAGTCCCACAGCAAGTGAGCAGCGAAGGTAAGATCTAAATCCAGGACTCCTCCCTCTCGGGCCAACACTCCAACTATCACGATCTTCGTCGTGGTCCCCTGAACAGGCACAGCCACAAGACCACAGATGAGGACGAGTGGCCTGCCTAGCTAAAAGAGCTCTGGGTACCCACTACAGCAGCACTTCTGAACCTTCCTAATCCCGAGACCCTTTAATTCAGTTCCTCATGTTGTGGTGACCCCCAGCCACAAAATTATTTTGCTTCTACTTCATGACTGAAATTTTGCTGCTGTTACGAATTGTAATGTAAATACAGGACCCATAGGTTGAGAACCACCCCTCTAGAGAGCTTTTCTCGGGGTAAGCCGTTCAGAGCAGGCGCTTTGAGCCTGCCACGCCTTCAAGAATGGCAGAAGGAGAGGCAGGAGCTCAAATCCAGATCTTGTCATGCACAACGCACAGATCTGTAACCCCAGCACTGGGGAAGCTGGGGGAGGGTGGGGTCGAGTTGAGAGCCAGCCTAGGTAACATAGTAAGACCAGGCTGGATTCAAACTTGTAGCAATTCTGCTCCAGCCTCTAGAATAACTGGGATTATTATAGCGCTTTGTCACGTCCATCAGGCCTTATTCCTTAAACAAAAACAGGCTGGAGAGATGGCTCAGTGGTTAAGGTCGGTGTTGGGATTAAAACCGCCCCGGCCACTGGTAGCTCTTCTCAGAGGACCCAGGTTTGCTAACGGCCTCTTCATGGTGGCTCCCACCGTCCGTAACTTCAATCCCAGGAGATCCGACACCCTCTTCTCCCCTCTGTGGGCACCAGGTAGGATGTGATGCAAAAACTTACAGTCAAAACTCTCACGCACGTAAGATAAATAAATCTAAAAAACGACTGGGAGCGCCAGAGAGATGGCTCAGTCAGCAAAGTGCTTGCCACACCAGCATGGGGACCTGAGTGTGACCCTCAACACCCACAAAAAAAGCCGTCGGGGGCATGACGGGCATGATTATAATCCCAGAGCTGGAGAGGCACAGACAGGGCCCGCTGGCCAGCCAGTCTAGCCTACTCAGTGAACTTCAGGCCAGCAAGTGATCCTGCCCCGTAAAACAGGTGGATGGCACCTGAGGAATGACACCCGAGGCTCTGCCTCCACATGCACACCAATACATATGTGACTGCAGGGGGTGGGGGAGGAGGCTTTTGTTGTTGTTGTTTTCTGAGATAGGGTTTCTCTGTGTAGCCCTGGTTGTCCTGGACTTGCTTTGTAGACCAGGCTGGTGGACTCACAGAGATCTGCCTGCCTCTGCCTCCCTGAGTGCTGGGATTAAAGGCGTGCGCCACTGCACCCTGGCTGGAAACATTATTACGTACAAATATGACATATGGGTGCCCGAGTGCATGTGAGTGCATGTGAGAGGCAGGCAGACAGACAGACAGAATAACTTTTGGAGTCAGTTCTCTCATTCCACCTGGGTCCCAGGGATGGTCCTCAGGCTTGCACTCCAAGCTCTTCCACCTGCCGAGGCATCCCCCTTGCACCTTGCTTTCAGTGAGTGACTAGAAATGACGCTGAGCCCTCTGGGCTCTGCGGGAACAGTACTGTCGCTGCAGCCGGGTGCAAAGAAAAAGGGGGCGGTGGACAGGCCAGGATGTCACTTGCGGATCACCAGCTAATTGTTTCATACTGTGCTGCCTCTCTGCTCCCTGTCGCCGTATCCTGCTCTGCGCTTGCTTCCTCTCTGTGTGTGCCCTGAGGCTCTCTTGGTCCTCAGTTTCCCTGTGTGCGAAGGAGAAGGCTGTGGACTCCACAGCGCTCGACTAGCAGCTGCCTCCTAGAGGTCTCACAGAGGATGGGGGCGGGGCTACCACACCCAGCTGCATTTCCCGTCCAGTCTATCTAATCCGCACCACAAGACCAGGGAAAACCTCTGTTGAAACAGGTCCAAAAAGCAACCCGGGTAAAACGCTGGGTGAGGAGGCCCAGGTGGTGATGACAGAATTGAGGCTCGTGTCTGAGACTTAGCAAGTGGTGAAAGTAGCATGAAGGTACATGCCTTTAATCCCAGCACTCGGGAGGAAGAGGCAGGCAGATCTCTGTGAATTTGAGGCCAGCCTGGGCTACATAAAAAGTTGGAGGACAGCCACGGATTCACAGTCTGTGTTTCGAAAAAGAAAAAGCCGTTATAAACATTTCAGGCTCCCTCTAGCCCACCTTAAGGATTACTGAAACGGAGGCTATTTAACCCAGAGAAGAAAACTTTCAGAGACTATTGAATTGCTATTTTCCAAGGAAAAAAAAAAACCTGTAAGAGTCTGCAGTCCAGTTACCAACCCACAGCTAACTGCTATCGCCCCCTACTGGACATAGGTAGAATATCCACTCGGATATCCACTGGCCTGGTGGGGAATCCTCGTGGTTTGAGCTTAAGCTTTCACACGGAGCAGAGCTCTTGAACCTGACAAGGATGTTGTGTGGGAAAGGTGGCAGGAGGGAATAGTGCCGGTGTGTGGAAGCGACAAGGTGCCCTCATGAGGGCCAGGTGTCTGTAGACTGAATCAGTCCCAGGACTTTGAAGGGTCGGGACTTTCTTTAATTTCATGTAAGTTTTTTGTTACTTATTTTGTGTGTAGGCACTGTGATGAAGGTGTAGGGGTTAGGGGACAACATGTAGAAGTCGCCTCTCCTCATGCATCCCGTGGGATTGAACTCCGGCCACCAGGCTTGGCGGCAATCACCTTTGCTGAACCAATTCCCCAGCTCCTGTTTCTGTTGTAGCCCAGGCTGCGCTCAGCCGGTGGTGACCTTCCGTCTTCCAGGTGTGCACACAGTTTACGCAGCGCTGAGGGCTGAGCCTAAGGCAGGTTCACACGCGTCAGACAGGGGCTCTGTCTCACCGTGGAAGATGACTGGCCTTCATGGCTTACTGTAAGCCTGGGCTGCAGTCGATTAACTGCGAGTTTGTCTGCTGGGGATTTGCTTTTCTTGTCTTATCCAGGGAGGAATTGAGGAAAGAGGTGGGGTGGGTGTCATATTGAGGTGCTGAGGGGAGCGTTTATCCTCCTGGTAACTGCTCTTACACTCAACCCCAGAAGTCAGAGAGGAATGAGTCAGTGGGGAAAGGGTCATGACCCTCCCCTCCACCACTTCCCAGGCTCTCACAGGGGACTGTTCACCAACCCACCCGGGGCGACAGTCCCTCATGGAGTCTGCAAAAGTGAGTAAAGCTAGGCTGAAGGTAAATTCAGAGTGTGGCAAAGGGCGGCGTACAGCAGGAGCTGGGGTCAAAGGCCACGACAGGCTCTGGCTCCGTGGGCTCCTTAGCCCTCTCTGGTTTCAGTCAGTCTCAGCACTGATGCAGGCCATCTCTTCTCTTTTCTTTGAAGCAATCTAAGGAGTTGGGATAGGGGTTATGAAGACAGGCTGTTCCGTCCCAGTCCCCAGCCGTCAGCCTAGCGTGGCTTTTGCTAATAGTTCCGTTGGGTGTACACTCCTTTCCAGAATGGAGATGGGAATGGAGATGGGATGGGATGGGATGGGACGGAACAGGATCCTGGCTGCAAAGCACTAGAGCCATCCATGCTCGTTACTGTGGTTGTGAAATTAGCCGCAGTCTGTGAAAACCAGCATTGTCCTTGCTAGAGTATCCCTGGCTCGGCCACACACAGCGCTCAGGCCCCCGTCTCGGGTCTGACTCGGTTAACTGCAGTTGCTGGGGCCCCCACACATGAAAACATCCACATCCTTGGCCATCAGTGTTCACCGCCCTCCTCCCACCTTCTCTGATGTGGCAGGAACAGAGATGCCATTGAGAGCCCTCGCTGCCGGGATGAGGCGAGATCGGCTCTGGGATTGCTCACTGTTCTCCTGAAAGAGGAGTGACTGGCCCGAGGGCACCTGGAGCCCAGCACCCCAGAGGGGAACCCAGACCAGCCTAGGAGGAGCCTGTGTCCTGTGTCCTTGGGAGCTGCTTACCGGTCAGTGTGTGTGTGCTTGTGTGTGTGTGTGTGTGTGTGTTTATATGTGTGCCTATCTATGTGTGTGTATGTTGGGAATTTTGTGACTGGATGTGAGTGGGTATGGACGAGGGTGTATGTATGTGTATATGTGTGTGTGTGTACCTTTGTGTGTGTGCAAACACGTGGGTGTGAGGGTGGGAGTGGGTATATGCATGTATGTGTGTGTGCGAGTGTCCCTGTGTTGTCGCAGTGACGGCTCAGGCCCCTGACAGGCGTATCTCAGGGAGGTGAGGAGGATGCAGGCTGTGCAGTTGGTGAGTTCACACTGCTGACCCACAGCTTTCAGGGTAACTGAGCCCAAGAGTGAACTCCGGAGTGTGGAACCTCAGGTCCTGACGGGAAGCCCATGGAAAGGGAGAGCCTGTTTTCTGTGGCGCCTTGCGTTGGGACCAGGCAGAAGGTTTAGGCAAATGCAGCGGAGTGCCTCTGCCTGGCTATGACGGAAAAGGCAGGGCCCCTCCTCAAGGATAGAGCGGGGAGACTTCATTCTGAAGTCTCACCCTTATCCTGGGCTAGCTTCAACTCCATTTGTAGCTGAGGTTAACCTTGAAATCCTGAGCCTCCTGTGTGCATCTCTCTGGTGCTGGGATTATGAGCATTACCACTACAGCCAGGTCATTGAACTTTTGTTTTTGCTTTTCGAGACAGGATTTCTCTGTGTAACAGAGCCCTGGCTGTCCTGAAACTCCCTCTGCAGACCAGGCTGGCCTTGAACTCCCAGAGATCTTCCTGCCTCTGCTTTCCTAGTGCTGGGATTAAAGGCGTGGGTCACCACTGCCCAGTGGTCACTGAACTCTCAGTAGCACTTTCTAGACTTGAGATATCACTCAGTTGGCAGAGTGCTTGCCTAGCCAGCGTGAAGCCCTCTGTTCAGTCCTCGGTACCGGGTGTGGGGGCACACACCTACGGTCCCTGTGCTGGAGACATGGAGGCAGGAGGGTCAGTTCATACTCATCTTTAGCTACATAGTGAGTTCGAGGCCAACCTGGAGTACAAACGACACTGTCTCAAAAAACAGAAAATACCGTTTACACTTTGCCCCTACCCTCAGCTCCCTTAAGGCAGGGCCCTTAGTTCTGTAGACAAACTGGGAGGAGCTCTGTCCCTTACCACGGTCTTCCCACTGACAAAGGGGAGACAGTGCTCTATCTGGGGGAGGTGGACAGAGTTGAGAAACCAGACACAGCTGACGGGGAGCGTGCAAAGCCAAGCACAGACACTGGCCGTGCTCTCTGACCCGTGAGGGGAAGGGTGGCTGCCGTGAGGCTGTGTCCTTCCTGCTTGGGAGAATGTGGCCCACAGCAGCCCGTCTAAGGCAACAGGTGACCAGAAGCCGAGGACAGAAGACTGCTATGCAAGGGAGGTCAGCTGAGCCCTGCAGGTTTCCTGGAGGGGAACCTGAGCCCTGGGAGGTCCTGCAGATAGCAAGAACCAGAGTGGCAGGCAGGACCCTGGACTTGCAGTGGAGGCAAAGCCTGTTCTACACATAAACACAGCCAGGCCACCAAGAACCTTCTTATGGCCGTAGCTGACAGGCCATAAGATGGCCTCCCTCAGGTCTCAGGGAGATGCTTGCCCGTTTCCGTTGGAGCTGGGAGACTGGAGGGAGGAGCTCTTGGAGAGGCTTACAGTAGAGCGGTGGTCCTCAAGCCGTGGGTGTCGAGTATCAGGCACCCTGCATAGTGGATGTTTACATTAAGAATCATAGCAGTAGCGAAATTACAGTATGGAGCAACAAGAATAATTTTACGGTTCGGGGTCACCACAACACAAGGAACTGAACTAAGGGCTCACTCACAGCGTTGGGAAGGTTGAGCTCACTGCTCTAAAGAGTAGGGGGCTGAAGCCTGAGGCATCCAGCACAGAGACGTGAGAAAATGGCAGGTTCCTTGTCTCCACAAGATGTATATGTACATGCAAAGGTAACTGTAAATGTACACATATATGTATGAGAGCCTAGGGCTTCATGCATACTCAAAACCCGCTCTACTACTGAGCTAGATCTCTGAGCTCTGACATAGTGATGTGAAATCTTGTTTATTTCCCTTCTTTTCCTGACCCCTGTAGTTCAAAGCACTCATTTATAATACCAGCCTGCTGTGTCTAAGGACACAGGCGTTTCCTCCTGGTGGCGAGGCACACTGATGGCACCCCTCCCGACCCACCCTGACCTTACTGTTGACCTTGGAGGAGTGAAGTGAATTCAACCTGCTTTGAAAAATCAAGCTGTGGGGATGGCTAAGAGTGCTGGCTGCTCTTCCAGAGGACCTGGGTTCTATTCCCAGAATCCACATGGCGGCTCACAGCCCTCTGTAACTCTAGTTCCAGGTCTGATGCCTTCATCTGCCCTCCACCTGAACCAGGCACACAAATGGTGCCCATATATACACGCAGGCAAATGTACTCTTATCAAAATAAGTAAATAAATAAAAACAAATCTAAATAAATAAAAAATATTTTTTTTAAAAGAAAAACCAAGTTCCAAGTTCCTTCCTGAGTGTGGAGTTCAAGGTCATCCTCAGCTATTCTTGGAGTTAGGGGCCTATCTGAGCTATAGGGGACCCCGTCCTCGGAAGGGAGAGAAGAGATGGAGGGAAGGACGGAGAAAGCAGGAGGAAAGGAAGGAGGGAAGCTCTTTACAACTCTGGGATACTATTTTCACACACGTGGTTTTTAGGAATGGGCCGCATCTTCACTTGCTGCCGAAAGGAACTGTGTGATTGAGAATTCACAAAGGGTAAACGAGGCATCGTACAGACATGCTGAGACTAGCCCTGGTTTTAAGCGAGCTGTCTCCTTTGCTCTCAGCAGGATCGAGATGACCACGGCCACCACCTTGGGGGATGCAGTTTTCTCACTCAACATGACCAGAGGAGAAGACTTCCTGTATAAGAGTAAGGTGGACTTGGGGGAAGGTCGCCAGGGCCGGTTTGGGGCCATCTTCCTGGTCCCATCACTTGCCAAACTCATGCGCGATGTCTTGCCCTGGGCCTCCGTTTCCTCACCTGAAAGATGGGGAATGGCAGTGAAGATCCCACGGGAGGTTGTGGTGAGGGCTGAATGAGCCACGGCAAGGGCCACGTTCCCGACAAGCGAGCAGTGAGCACGCCAGTGCTGCCGCAAGCGCTGTGACGACGGACTGCTGCCCCCGCCTCCCGTCTCCAGCAAATCCCGGCGTCCAGGGAGTGATGGAAGTTTGAATCTCTTTTGAGATAATGAAATGGGGTCGTCTCCTTGAAAACTACTTGCTAAGTGTGGTGGTGCACACCTTTAATTCCAATACTGAGGCAGAGGCAGGAGGATCTCTGTGAGTTCAAAGGCCAGCCAGGGCTACAGAGAGAGACCCTGCCTTAAAACAACAACAGCTGCTCACATACTTTTTTTTTTTTTTTTTTTTTTTTTTTGAGACAGGGTTTCCCTGGGTAGCCCTGGCTGTCCTGGACTCACTTTGTAGACCAGGCTGGCCTTGAACTCACGGAGATCTGTTTCTGCCTCCCAGAGTGCTGGGGTTACAGGTGTGTGCCATCGCACCTGGCTCCTGCCCACCTCTTAACGGGTAAATGAGTGATGGTGGGACTGGGTTAGTCCTGGGAAATGTTTACCAAGGACCTGGGAGAAGAAAAGCTGAGCACAGCTCTTCAGAAAATCAGTCCACTGGGCCGAGTATGTAGCTTAGTTGGTAGAGGGCCTGCCTAGCAGGCATGAAGGCCTGGGCTTGATTCCCAGCACTGGATAAAACAGGTGTGTTGGTATACACACATGAACCCAGCACTGGGGATGTGGAAACAGGAAGATCGGGAGCTCAGAGCTATTCTCAGCTTAAGTTCGAGGCCAACCTGAGTGACACAAGACCCAAGACCCTGTGTGTTAGTTTGCTTCTCCTTTGCTGTAATGAACACCATGCCTAAAAACAGCTTACGGCTTACAGTCTGTCATCAGGGGGATCCAAGGCAGGAAGATGGAGGCGGACACTGAAGCAGAGGCCGTGGAGGAATGCTGCTTACTGGCTTGCTCCCATGGCGTGCTCGGCCGGGTTTCTGACACAGGCCAGGACCTCCCATATCAATCATTAATCATGAGAATGGCCTGCAGACACGGGCCCACAGGCCCATCTGATGGCGGTAACTCCTCAACTGAGTTACCACTGGATACCTTTTCACAAAGCGCACACACTGTGTCTCCAGCACCCGTCTCGGGAAATAAGAGATCACACGATACCCTGATTAGTCATGCCCGGCTTTGGATTCTGTGTGAGTGGAAAGACAGCCAGATGTATTCTTCAGTATCTGGCTTCTTTTTATATGTGTGAGCGTTTGGCTACACATAAGTGCACTGTGTGGGAGGTGCCTGTGGAAGCCGGAAGAGGGCATCAGAAACTCAGGGGTAGGGTTACAGACAGTATGGGGTACCGGGAATGGAACCCGGGTGCTCAGCAAGAGCAGCCAGGGCTCTTAACCACTGAGCCGTCTCTCAGGGGGCCCGTGTCAGGCTCCTTTGGCTGAACCTTGTGTTTGCAGGCACGTGTGCTAGCTAGTGTTTCGTGGCGTGTTTTTCCACTCTCCATATTTAGGTGGCCTTAAGTGTTCCCGTGTCATTCATAGTGTTCAGAAATCATCACGGAAAACATTTCAAAGGACTATATGGACTCGCCTGCCACGCCTTATTAAACCACTCAGCGCACCAGTAATTTTGTAAGCAGACGTTTTCCTTCAGACAGCCTTTCAGCACTGAGGATCGGTTATTCCCTAAATATGACAGTCCCTCTGATGTGACAGACGGGCTTAAAGCACAGATGTATTTGTAGTTCCCGGCGTTTTCAAAACTCAGACAAGAATGGTGTTCTCAGCCTGAAAATAGGAGTCTGCCGTTGAGAGTGTACCGAAATTAAGTCCGGGGAGCTACAAGACTTGCGTACTACTAGCCTTGTTTGTAAGAGCGAAAGATTGAAAACATAAACAATCTCAACAGGGACTTGGGGGACAAATCATGATGTAGCCCAGCACAGGATAATGTGCAGCCATGGAAACCATAAGGAGAGCATGTAAAAGCATGGAGAGAAGATGACTGTGGTAACACCGTAAGATAGCATGGAATTGTCACGGCTGGTTTTAAAAAAACATTGGTGTGTGTGTGTGCTCGCTCTCCTGTGTTAGTGAAGTACGCTAGATCCTCGGAACTGGAGTTACAGGTGGTTGTACCTCAAACCAAAACTGGGTCCTTTGCAAGAGGAGTGTGCGCTCTTAGCTGCTGAGCCATCTCTCCAGCCAGCTTCCTTTGTTTTGCTCTGTTTTGAGACAGGCGTGTGTAGCTTAGACTGGCCTTGAACTTCCTGTGTAGTTGAAGGTGACCTTGAACACCTGATCCTCCTGCCTCCACCTCGAGCGCTGGAATTACAGGTGTGCACTACCACTCTGGATATTTGGGTGTCATTTTAACAATTGCCTATTTTTCCATATGTAGGATTATTTCCTTAGGATAGCTCTTTCAGACAGAGAGCTGATGTTTTAAAGGATTTCCTTGTTCTTATTGTCTGTGTGGGGGTGTTTTGCCTGCACCGTGAGCGTGCAGTGCCCAAGAGTGCCAGAAGAGGGCATCAGGCCCTACAGGTACCAGAGTTACCCAAGGTTGTAAACCACTGTGTTGGTTCTGGGAACCGAACTTGGGTCCTGTGTAAGAGCAGCCAGTGCTCTCAACTGCTGAGCCATCTCTCTCTCTCTTTCTCCAGCCCACTTTGCAGACCTGGCTGGCCTCGTACTCACAGAGATCCGCCTGCCTCTGCCTCCCCAGTGCTGGGATTACAGGCGTGTACCACTAAAATCTGAACAGACTCTAAGGTGCACAGACAGGCTGCACGATGAATAAACAGGTGTAGATGGCCAGTGACTCATCCTCTCCCCTGCTTTGCTTATTTTTGTATTTTCAAAGTCATCTGGAAAATCACATCAGTTGCATCTTATCAAGAAGAGGGGAGGGAGTCGTGTTGTTCTTTTCTGCAGAAGTACAGAGCCATGCTGGGTCTGAGAAGAGAGCTCGGGCAGGCAGCATGCCACATCCTAGGTCTTTAGAGAAAAGGAGAGATCTGGCCATCACTGGCTACCTAACAAGTTCAAGGCCGCCCTGGGCTACATGAGACTCAAGTTTCTTAGTGCTGTGACCGAATGCCTGAAAAAAAATCAACTTAAAGAAGAAAAGGTGTGTGGGCTCAGTCTCTACCCTGGTGGCGTGCCTCCGCTACTGCGGGCCTGAGCTCAGAGAGGGCATGGTGAGCTACCCACTCATGATTGCCAGGAAGCAAGGAAGGTAGAGGGAAACGCGACACAATGACCTTCAGGGGCCCCCAGTGCCCACCTTCTCCCGTCAGGCCCCTCCCCCATACACTTTCTGTCACCTTTCAAACTGTAAATCCAATGGCTAAATCTACTGATTAGATTGGGGTCCCGGTGGTCAGTAATTCAGTCCACCAGCTGGAGACCAAATCATTGATATGTGAGATTTAGGGGGGAACATTTTTATATCCAAACCATGCGTGACAAGTACTCGCCGGGGGCCCTCCCACTCTTCATGTCAGCTCGCGTCTTCACCCATCTCTGCTCTCTTATTCTGTATTTTAATTCATTTACTTTTTTGTCATGTGTATATGATGTGTGTGTGTGTGCATTTTGCTTTGCTCGTGTGTGTCCATGCTGGCATGAGTGTGCCATGACAGGTACACGGAGGTCAGAGGACACCCTGAGTCCTGCCCTCCTAGCTTACTCTCGACAGACTCTCTTTGTTGTTTTCCCCCCACACACACCGGCGTACACCAGGTTGGGGGGGCTGCAGGCTGCCGGGGACCCTCCTGTCTCTGCCCTCCCCCTCACCCGGAGGAGCCCTGGGGCCACGATGCTGCCGACTCCTGTGGTTCCTGGGGACTTCTACCCACTTTCAGTTCCCTCTTCTCTGCAGGTTCTGGAGCCATCGTGGCTGCCATCGTGGTGGTTGTCATCGTCATCGTCACCTTGGTCCTGATCCTGCTGAAGATGTACAACAGGTACAGGAGGCTCAGAACTGCCCCCCCCATCTTCCGTGTTCCGGTGTAGAGGGCTAGCTCACCTGCCCAGGGTGAACTCATTATTGTTAGCTATTGAATGTGATGGTCTATAAAATCTAAAAAATGCGTTTTGCTAGTTTGAGACGGGATCTCTTTATGTAGCCCAGACTGGCCTCGAAATCCTGCCTTGAAAGTCCTGGGATTGTAGATACCTTAAGTCAATTCTCTTCCCAGTGACATAAGACGTTCTTAAGTATCCCTAGCAAACTACTTAGCGTGCGCAATCACGCTGCAGACCTCGGCCAGCTTCACTAGTCTTCAACGCAGCCACCGCTCCCACTCTGTTCCTCGTCAGGGACAGACTGACGTTCAGCAGTTTCATTTAAACAGAACATTCTGAATTGAGCCAGGCTGATGTGGAAGGTCCCTCCCAGTCACGACAGCAGCAGCTGAGCAATGTGACTTCATAACGAGCCATCCTCACAGGCCCCACTCCTCGCCGTCTCGTTACAGGAGAATGAGGTCTAGGCGGGAGCTGGAGCCCAAGAGCCCAAAGCCACCTGCCCCTCCTGCCCTGGACCCAAACAGCAATGGCAGCCAGCAGCCTGCCGCTGTGACCTTCAATCCTGCTGACGTCCAAGTGGAGACTCGGTGACTGTGCCCTGGTGCCAACTCTGCCTCTGCAAAGAGCTTTTGTGACCTGAAAGCACACTCTTTTGGCAGCTTCACTGAGTTCTTTCTGGTTGGGTAAACTGAGGCACACCGTTCCCACAGCCCCTGCAGCTTGAAGCCATCCTTAACTATGCCCTTCGCTGGCCACCCCAGCTGTGTCCATGCCCCTGCTGTCACTCTGCCGAGGAGCTGTGGATGTCCTTTTGTCACCCGATGGGAAGCACTATGCTGAGGATATGGTGCAAGCCCGGTCCTCGACTTACAAATGCTGAAGCTGGACAGACAGACGCCTGAGTCTTCTGGTCAGGGGTCAGGGAGTGCTAATGACAGTGCCACCCAGGGAGCCACTGGGGGCACGTCCGCAGCTTTCTCACCCCCGTAGTCAGGTGCAGAGGAACTAACTTGGACTAACTAACCACGAAACTAACTCCGTAAGGTCTAACCTGCTCCAGTACTAGATGGCCTCCAGCCAGCTCATGATGGCCAGTCCACAAGCCGCCTCCCCCCAACAAAGAGTACAAGAGACTGAACTTGGTGGCACATGCCTGTCATTCCAGCACCCAGTAGAGGCAGGAACGTTGTGATTGCAAGGCCAGCTTTGGCAGCATACGAAGTTGTTTCTTTTAAAAATCAAGACAAAATAGAATAAACAGTATTCTCAAAAAAAAAAAAAAAATCTATTTTGTTAGCAGTTAGAATAAAGAGGTGCCCCGAAGATCAGAGGCTAGCTCTCAGATGAGGAGCAGAGGCTAGCTCTAGGATGAAGAGCAGGGGCTAGCTCTAGGATGAGGAGCAGAGGCTAGGATGTTACTTGCCCATGAACCTGGGCTGTGTGGGCTGCTCAGGACCCTTCCTGCTGGCCCAGGTGGACTACTCTGGCTCCTCATTTTCTGGCTCCCTTTTATTTGGACGCTAAGCTTCCCTGACTCACCTCTGGGGACAAGTACTTTGAGACTCATTAGATCCCGTATTTCCTGTATCCTTCCTAGTCACCTTGCAGAGACAAAGTCAAAACACACGACTCTCTATGACCTGGGCCAGAAGACAATCTACTAATAGGGACAAACGTGTCAGAACTAAAAGTTACGTCCAAGTTCTGTTTCCTGACCCTGAAAATGTGGTTCGGGGGCTTGTGAGACGGCTCAGGAAGTAATGTGGCCAAGCATGACAACCGAAGTTCAATCATTAGGTCCCACATGGTGGAAGGAGAGAACAACTCTCATCTCTATGTACAAACAAATTAAACATAATTAAAAGTTAAAAAAAAAAAAAAAGCTGCCTGGGGGCCTAGGGAACTGACTCAGTGGCAAAGAGTGCGTGCTGCAGAAGCTTAAGGACCTAAGTTCAAAGCCCCAAGCCCCACCTGAAGAGCTGTGCGTGGTGAGGTTCTCCTGCAGCCCAGCACTCCGAGGAGGCAGACGCAGGGCGCTGTGGCTTGCTGACTGACCCTGCAGCTTCAGCGTCGGTGAGAAAGTCTGAGGTCCTCATCTGGCCTCCGGTGTGCTCACGCAGGAGATATGCCACAATACACGCACGCACGCACGCACACTTTTGTTGTTAAGACAGGTTCTTACTATGTAGCCCTGACTGGCCTAGAGCTCTGTATGTAATCAGGCTGGCCTCGAATCCCACTTATAATCCCAGCACTTGGAGATAGTTAGATTTATATATAGGAGGATCAAGAGTTTATGGTCATCCTTGGTTACAGAGAAAACTCAGGCTCACTCTGGGCTACTCTAAACCCTCTCTCAAACAAACATGAAACTTTCTTTGAGCAGCTGTGGAAAAGTACTAGGAAGTTCTCATCCTCAGCCATCTACCCCTGTGTATCTAAATACCCATCATGCTATGCTCCAGCCACAGTCTTTACTTATCCTAAGTTATGTCCTAAGTTATCTCATAGGATTTCACTCTCTTTGTGGGTCTGCAAGCTCATCTTTCTCTCCACTCTCAGATGAGAATTTCCAACTCACAAAGGGTAAGAACCTACTGGGAATCCCAGGACTGGTGTGGTAGAGACAGGGCTCTGAGTAGGTCAGCTTTGGCATGACCCTTCCTCCCATTCTCTCCCTCCCCCAAAGATAACAGCTTCTTGGGAGTAGATGCAGAGAGAGCAGCCTGTCCTGTGTGAGGGACTGGGATCTCACTTCCCAGCTGAAGGGTCGGAGCACTTTGGTGGGTTCCTGTTGGCGCTAATGAACATTGCCAAGAGAGCACTCTCTAGCCCCCTCCCTGCCTTGGCTCCCAGTGCCCTGCTTCACCTGCTTCCTGTAAGGCCCTAGGCAAGCCCCAGTAGATAATGTTTTCCTGAACATTTTCTGCTTTAAAAACAAAACAAAAACAAGCAAACAATCCCTTGTGCTGCTGGAGACATGGCTCCTCAAGGCCCTTCCCTCCATCCCCAGCACTGGGGGAAAAATCAGCCGGAACGTTGCAGCCTTAAAACTACCCCCTTTGCCCACAGGAAGGTCTTCTACTGCTAATTAGTGCTTGGGAACGAAGGAGGGAAGAGGGGGACCGAAGAGTGAGGGTGGGATCCAGTGCCTTGTCTTCATTGTTCTGCTTTTCAATAACGAAGATAACCCAGTTAGGCTCCCTTGGTGGCTCTGTGCACGTTGAGCGGGCTCCTTGGTACAGGGAGACAGGGCCCCCAGTTTCAGCAGGGGGTTGTGCAGCCCCTTCTGCTCCCCATTCCCACAGGTCCCTCTCTCACCCGGGCAGGCTCTCTTTCCAGCGGCCACGGAATCAAGGGAAGATATTAAATGCATATGTTTTAAAATAAAAAGGTTTAAATAGAGTGTGTGTCGTTCATTTCGGTGACATGTACTGTTAGAAAATGCCTTTTCTGCTAGGTGCTGGGGGCATATGACTTTAATCTCAGCAGAGGCGGGCAGATTCCCGTGGGTTCGAGAACTATGGGTGGAGAGAAACCCTGTCTCAAAAACCAAAACCAAATGCCTTCTCAAAACTCTCCCTTTCAAGCTGGGGGTGGCGTCTCGTGCTTATGGTCCCAGAATTAAGAGTCTGACACAAGAAGATTACCACAAGTTCGAGGCCAGCCTGGGCTACAGAGTGATCTACCTCTAGACCTTTCTATGAGCTGAACGTTTGTGGGGCTGGAGAGATGGTTCAGCAGTTAAGAGCACTGGCTGCTCTTCCAGAGGACCCAGGTTCAATTCCCAGCACCCACATGGCAGCTCAGAACTGCCTGTAATTCCTGTTCCTGGGATCCAACACTCGAACACTGGCAAAACAGCAGTGAACATAAAATAAAAATAAATAAATAAACTTTAAAAAAATATATACAAGACTGTGTCAATGACAACAAATAATAACAAAGTTAAATTACATAATTTTCATTTCTCTGTACTTTTCATAGCACAGGCTGTTTTGAGAATCTCGAACATCTAGTCACTGGATGTGTGTGCGACGCACCTTCATTGAGGCTTTGATTTGTAGTCCCGGATAACCGATGGGGCGTTCCCCACCTGTTTGGTGGCCACATGAATATCCTTCGTAGAATTTACCTTTCAGTCTTTCTTTGTTGTTGTTGTTTTCAAGACAGGGTTTCTTGCTTTGTAGACAGGCTGGCCTTGAACTCACAGAGATCCACCTGCCTCCGCCTCCCAGAGTGCCGGGATTACAGGAGTGCAACACCAAACCCAGCACCTTTCAGTCTGAAAGAACTTTTCAGAACTCTTATTTAGTTCTTCTTCTTTCAACATTGATTTCAAAGAGTTTTACAGACAAAAACATGTCATTTGCCATCCTGTGTCTTGCCTTTAAAAACAAGGATAGAGGCTGGATGAGGTGGCGCACGCCTTTGATCCCAACACTCGGGGAGGCAGAAGCAGGTGGATCTCTGTGGGTTCAAAGCTAACCTGGTCTACAAAGGATAGCCAAGGCTACACAGAGAAACCCTGTCTCATAAGTCCAAAGGAAAGAAAAAGAAAATCAAGGGTAGAGACTCTAAACACAATCAAGTTGACGTGGAAGACTTTGTGGTCTCTGTGGCCCGTGGAGGGCTGAGGACAAGCGTAGAGGCAGAGGAAAGCCTGCTGGGCCTCTTGGTGGAGACTGATGTTCATACCCTAAGCCAACCTTGCTGGATAAATTACACACCGCTGGGCATGCTGGGAAACACCCGTCATCCCAGTGGTCAGGAGTCAAAGGGCGGACTACCTCAGCTGAGGCCAACCTAGGCGCAGGGGAAGACCTTGTTTCATGGTCGTCATCCCACCTAGTCACAGCATAAAATTTCCTGTACACGTTGATTCTGGAAACAGAAGGTCTGGTGTGACATGTGTTAGTACAAAAGGCAAGACCGACCCCCAGTGCAGCCGTGGCCTTCTTCTCTTTTCTTTCTTCCGTGTATACACATTCCTGTGTGTACACAGGCCTGTGCGCCCACCAAGGTATTCCTGGAGGCCAGCTGTTGTGCTGCTCTCCGCCCTCTGTGAGGCAGGAGCTCTCACTGAAGGTGGAGCTCATCATTCTTTTGGCTAGGCTGGTGGCCCGAAGCTCTGGAGACCCCCTTGTCTCCATCTCCCTCCGGTGCTGAGGTTCCAAGTGTGAGCAGCGGGGCCCAGCTCTCCACAAGGTTGCTGCGCATGTGAACTTGGGACCTGGTGCTTGCCTCCCCCACCCGCTTTACCCACTGAGCCATCTCTTCTAAGTCTAAGATAATGTAGGTGAGGATTTGAACTCCAGATCCTCCTGCCTCTACCTCCCTAGTGCTAGGATTACAGGCTTGCACCCCTGCACCACCACGCTTTTTTTCTATGAGAGAACCCAGGGCCCTACCCTACCAGCTGAGCCTACCCTACCAAACAGCCTGTGCTGTTTCCTTTCAAAGGTCACATTATTATTGATTTTGGAGTGTGTGTGTGTGTGTGTGTGTGTGTGTGTGTGTGTGTGTGCGCGTGTGTGCGGGCGCCCCTGTTCCCCACACGGAAATTATCTAATCAGTCCAGCACCACTTGCCCTCCTCCACTTTATTGTGCTGTTGCCTCCTTTGGAGTGGAGCATCTGGACTGATCAGAATTACAGCAAGGACAGCAGAAAGAAGAGCAGGGCAAAGCCGGGCGCTGACGGGCATCTGCTCGCCTTCTGCCTCTCACTTTCGTGCTCAGTTTCCTGGCTGCAAGCCAACATCCGAGAGCAACAGACACAGCACGAAACATTCTAGAATGCCCCTCTCATGGAGGAGACAGAAACTAAGGGCCACACAGCACAAACCTGTGTGTAGAGGAAGGCCCTCGGAGGGGTTCTCTGAAGATCTTGCTGGAGCACCCAGCACAGCATGGAGCCATTGGGCAAGTATGGGCTATGAGGAAAGGCACTGTGGAAGGGAGAGGGAGCACTGTGGAAGAGTGAGGTCTTGGAAGAACGGAAGGAGAGGAAGAGAGAGCAAGAAGAAAGCTATGCAGGACAGAGACACTTCCATTTAGCAAAAACCCAAAAGAAGAGGAGGAGGGAGGCTCCGGTGGGGAGGACCATCCATGTTTTGTTATTTTAAAAGGCAACGGAGAGCTGTTGAAAATTCGTGAGCACAGGTGTGGTGGGGTGGCTCAGTGAATATACACGTACTAACAAACATCACAAACAACAACAAACCTGGGTTCAATGCCCAGGACCCACGTGTGGAAGGAAAAGCTGATTCCCAGAGCTATCCTCTGACTGCTCCACACATGCACACAGAAAAATGTAATAAATAATTTAAGGGAAGAAAATGCTGGGCTTAAGAGGCTCAGTGGGTCAGAGCTCAGTGGTTCAGTGCTTCCAGAGGCAGCCCGGAGTGTGATTCCCAGCACATCAGGTAGCTCAAAACCACCTGTAACCTCAGTTTCAGGGGATCTGGTGTCTGTGGCCTCTGAGTGCATGGGGACACACACATTGGAGATATTGACCATTAAATAAACAACAGTGCTTGACCAGGGACAACAGACACCGCTATCTGTATCAGAGTGAGTTCTAAGTCCAGCCACCATATGCAGAACAGGCCAGCGTGGGAGAGGCTGGAGGCGAGGCGAACAAGACAGAGTCTGTTACCCAGCACAGCAGGCACATCTGTGTGTTCTAGTTTTTAAACGCCTGTTCTAAATAGCCCTCAAATTGTCCTGTTTTTCTTTTTTCCTTTCTTTTAAAAGTAGCTATTTGTGGGTGTACACTAACCCAACAAAAATGTCTCCAGGAGTTGTCTGAAGCCCACTGGATGGGAACACACAGCAGGGGCATTGTCTCAGCTCTATAGCCCTTTGTCCTGGGACAACCATTCTGTCCATAGCAATGTCCTGGCAAAGAAGCAAACGGCAACAGCTTAGCAGATGCTGCTGCACCAGAGCCCCTTCTGGGGTCCTTAGGAAGCCCTTTGTGTATCAGCCCAGGTATCAAGTTCAATCTTCTGAATGAATAAAGTTTTCCTGGATCTCTAGCCACTTTGTTTTACTCGGCATAGCATCTCTCTACGTTCCCCAGGTGGCCTCAACTCTCCATCCTCTTGCCTCCTGATCGATGGGACACCGGGCTTTTTTTGCTAGGCTCAGATTCACCCTGCGCTCTTCCGGAACGCTGCACCACCTTAAATGACCCCAGAAAAGCACACCAGCATATCCCCAGCTTCCTCAAGCTGTGCAGTTCTGCTCTCAGAGTCATATTAGGAGTATAAGGAATTAAAAAATCAACCCACAGTGGTAGGAGGTGTCTACATCCTGGAACTGAAGGATAAGGAATCAGTGCTGAGGTCTGAGAGTGAAATGTCTTCCATGGGCTTGTGTGTGTGAATACATGGTCCCCAGCTGCCAGGGCTGTTTGGGAAGGTTGTGGAACCTTTCCAAGGTAGACCCTTGCTGGAGGAAGTACATTACTGGACACGACCTTATGGGTTTGTAGCCTGCCCTCACTTCCTGATCCTTGCTGCCTGCTTCTGCCAGGAAGTTCTTCAAATCCTAACCGACTGTACCCATCCAGTACAGATGGGTACAGAACTGTAAGCCAAAACAAGGCCTTTCTCCCCCAAGCTGTTTGGTCTAGGGATTTATTTCGGCAATGGAAAAGGAATTAAGAGAGTTTGTGGTCAATAACAAATGTCAAAAATAAATAAATAATAAATAAATATAGATAAAGGTCATGCCTTTTTCTTGTGCTGCAGCCTTATGCTTGTCCCCAGCCCAGAGGGTTCCACCACGCTCCCCACCTCGGGGTGCACTGTGCACTGTCCCCCTGGACACAGAAAATAACACCCTTGCCTCCTAATTCTTCCCACTTCATCCCGAACCATCCGTCCTCCTCTCCTCCTCAACCTTAGATCGTTCCTCCAATTCACTTAACCCACCGTTGCATCACAAACAAAGTCCCAGCCACGGGTGGTGGCGTGAGTCTGTCATCGGTGTTCGGTGAGCGGTGTGTGTGTGTGTGTGTGCGCGCGCGCGGGGGGGGGGGGGAAGAAGGGGGGGAAGAGGAAGAAGAGGAAGAGGAGGAAGAGGGGGAGGATGAGAAAGAGAAGGGAAGCGGAGGGAGAGAGAGAGGGGGAGGAGGAGGAGGAGGAGGAAGAAGAGGAGGAGGAACTTAAGGCCAGCCTAGGCCACATTCTGAGCTTGAGGCCAGCTTGAACCACATGAAACCTGTTCTTAAAAACCAAAAGGAGGCCACACTCATGTCAGAAGCCCAAGCCCACAGCCTCAGGGGTGTCTCGCTTTCTTCCTCAGTGTCTTTCTTTTAGCCCTAGTATTTGAAACCATATTATGATCTCTGTTAAACTCCAACCCTGCTTTTCTGTTTTGTTTCCCTGTG